GTGGGGTGATAAAACTAATATGTGGGATACTTCTGGAGAAATGTCAAAACAAAACAATGATTTATGGGGAGCTTCTAAGGAGGCATCTAAAGAATATAATTCTTGGGACACAACATCCAAACCAGATAATAATACATGGGGAGCCCAGAAAGAAAATAAGACGTGGGGTAGTAAAACGCTTAACTGGTAATTATAATCATATATATATCTACTTTTTTTAAAAAAAATTTGACATTTTCATAACCTTTATATATACTCAGTTTCAAGTGCAATCAGCCTGGTCATCGTGCGTCTGAATGTACTGAAGAAGGAGGTAATGGTGGTAAATCGTTTAACTGGTAATGTATAATCACATATATATATATGTATATATTTTTTTTAACTTGCTGACATTTTCATAACCTTTATTTCTCAGCTACAAATGTAACCAGCCTGGCCATCGCGCGTCCGAATGTACTGAAGAAGGAGGTAATGGTGGTAAATCGTTTAACTGGTAATGTATAATCACATATATATATGTATATTTTTTTTTTTTAACTTGCTGACATTTTCATAACCTTTATTTCTCAGCTACAAGTGCAATCAGCCTGGCCATCGCGCGTCCGAATGTACTGAAGAAGGTAATGGTGGTAAATCATTTAACTGGTAATGTATAATCACAGATATAAATATGTATATGTACTTTTTTTTTAAAAATTGTTGACATTTTCATAACCTTTATATATTCTCAGCTACAAGTGTAACCAGCCTGGTCATCGCGCGTCTGAATGTACTGAAGAAGGTGACGGTAGTAAAATGCTTAACTGGTAACGTATAATCGGATATATATATTATACTTCTTTCTTTATGTTTATGATTTGATCCTATCTGTTCCTTATCACAATTTTTTTTAGTTTCCAATGCGGTTCTTCGGAACATCTTTCGGCCAGATGCCCTTTAAAAGTTCGAAAAACTATACCATGTATGAGTTGAATAGATTTTTCTTTTGTTTTTGAAAAGTTTATACGTGAATAAATTAACGATAAGAGTATTTAGGGGAAAATCCTAAGCCTGCCAGTATGTCATCTGAAGAAGCTTGGGAAAAACTCCTTAAGGCAGATAAAGAAAAAGACATCGATGATTTTAAAGAAGCGTTTGAAGAATATGCCAAAGCTACGCCGGATGAAAATTTTCAATCAATCGAAAAAAAATTAAGAGCTGCTAATTGCACAGGCAGAATAATAGCTCTGGTAAAGATCCGCCCATTGAATTCATTTATATCTGATTAGCAATTAATTATTTAATACTTTTCTTTATGGTATATTTTAGGAGCGGGAAGGTATTCCATTAACAAAATGCCTCATTGATTTGCAAGGAAACACCGGAAAAAAATATGTCGCTACGATCATCATGGGATCTCCAGACAGACTTCCTCGTACTGCTGGATCTCGCGCGCGAGATGAAGGTGAAAATGTTGAATGGCTTGCTGATGCTGGTTTCATGAGGGACGATCGTGAACCCGCTTGTTTCAATTGTCGAGAGAAAGGGCATATTACAAAGTATATAATTTATTATATTCCATTTACCTTATTCTCACAAAATAACGCGCATGTGCGTTATTTCGGACAATGGCCAGAATTAAGCTTAATTTAGGCCAAAATTCGAAATTATACCCCTGCGTGTTATTTCGCGAAAATACAATGTGATTTTGTACACTTTATACATTTATATTTATGATTCCCATTGTTTTGTAGGGATTGTCCTCAGCCGAAAAGAGGTAACCTTTTAGTCGATACCTAGTTTTATTATTTATAAAATAAATAATGCGCTTAAAAAGTATTGCATAATTTGTAATTCCTAGAGTATGAAAAGACGGGACCGATGACGTGTCAACACTGTGGATCAGCTGAACATTGGACAAAGTATTATTATTATTATTTGGAAAGTTTTGAAGTTGTTTATAGTATCATTTTACACTTACTAAATTTATAATTTATTATAGGCTTTGCCCAGAAGACCGTCGACATAACTCCTATGCAGAAAGTGCGCATTTATTATTATTGTTATTATTATGCTTGAACGTAAAGTAACGAAATAACTTACTAATTTGATAAATAATATTTTGGAACAGCTCGTAAAAACATTCTTGGAGATAGAGCATGGTGAGACACAATAAAATTTGGTTTAATAAGTTATGTAACTTTGCATGATACGTTAACAATTTATTTTAGTTTCAAATGTGGATCGACTGAGCATCAAGCTAGAGATTGCGACAAC